ACGGTCGACCGTAGGCACTGGTTGGCTTGCTTCATTGCTTTCAACTTCGCAGTCGGCTTCCGGTTGCTTAGGAAAATCGTAGAAGTTCGTGATGAAAGTCAAGAATTCATCAGAGCTGGCGCCTGGAAAGCTGTCAGAATGTCATTCCTTTCAGAGCGTTCGCACACTATACTAAAATGATGCGCTCAACGATGGTTGAACGTGAAATACTGCAAAAACTTTTGGAACAATCTCTGATTCGAAACGCGAAGACGACAGCAGCAAGCAATTGGTTCACTCACCCTGCTCTCCACAGAGCGCGATCTCGTGCAGAAGGTGTTCAATCAGTTCATCGAAGTTTTGAGCCATCTTCCTCCATCTCCTCCTGCGTTTCGCAAACCGCGGAGAATTGTCAACTCATTAACCGGTCGCTGTGGGTGTCGAACACGAGACTTGAGGCCTATCGGAAAGAAAATGTGGGGTGTAAAATTTGGCCTGGTGGGGACTGTGACGATTTGCTACACGTGCTGCCACTTCTTGGCACGTGCACGCACCAAGGCTTTTCTTTGGCAGCAAAAACTCACGGGCAGTGAAGTGAACGAACCTGTCGCTCTAAGAGCTCTGTAGAAGAGTGCCGGGGAGTCGCATGGTCATCAGAAGGCTAAATGGACGTTTGGCAGCGTCTGCGACCCTCGCTTGCCCACAACTTCACAGCTTCAGATAGTTGCATTCAGCACGAGCAAGACCATCTGACAATGATTGGAAAACGCGTAAGAACTGATTTGATCTACTCCCCGTTTCTCTTGCTCTCCATGAGCTTTCTGTACTGCTCGATGATACTCTTCCTCGCCTCGCCCAGCTCTTCCCGTCTTCGCAAGCTGCCAGCCGCATTGGGAACATCGCCCACAGTGACCTTCGCGCCATTCCTGACCTTAAATTTCTCCGTGGGTAAGCTCTTAAACTGTGGCGGTGCTTGAGCGACATCATGCAGGCCCTTCGGCTGCTCACGACTGGCCTGCAGCACTGCCCAAGGGTCATCATCACCATCCGGTTGCTCCCCGATCAGACGCTTCCGCTTGCCCTTCTTGCCTTTCGCCGGTAGCTCAGCGGTCTTGTCCTCGAACATGACCGCTTGCTCATCGTCTTCCTCCTCTGCCAGCTCTCTTGCCTCTTCCTCCTTCTCCCGGATCCTCGCCTCGCCCCGCCGCCACTCCGCGTACATCTTCTGCAGCCGCTTTTCCGTCTTGGTTTGGCGCTCCTTGATCCCTGCGACGTTTCCGCCCTTACGCGCAAGACCAGAAACAGGCAGGGCCTGGTCTACTCGCGCGGCAAAGTCTGACATGCGTTCGCCGGGCAGGATCTTGGGCATCTCAAGTGATGGCTTCTCTGGTTTCTCTGCTGCATCTTCTGCTGTCTCTTGCCCTCGCTTGCGCTTCTTGTTCTTCGGCCTGTCACCGGTATCCAACCCTCGTAGTCCTTTGCCGGTGGCTTGGAATTGCATGAGGCGCGCAAAGGCCTTGGGTGTATCATCCCGGCCATATCCTTCGCTATGCTCTGCCTTCTTCCGCTTCGGTGGTGCCTTCTTGGACTTGATGGCGGATTTCTGGCTGCGGTTGGGCACTGGGAGAGGCTTTGCGAATGCGGATGGCGGAAGGTCATATCTAAGTTGAAATGTAAGTACGAGGACAACACTAAGGCGTCAAGGCCACTACTCACGACTCCACATCTTGGCCTTTGGTCCTCGTATGTTTGTGAGGCATTTCGCGCGGTACGGCAATTTTCACTTTCGCTGCAAGGGCTCGATGCTGAAACTTGCGGCCTGAGGGGCTAGGCTTTCTCCACGTCACGTGGACGAGATCACCCCTCCATCAGATCCATAGACCCTTGTTATGTCCTCCAATGAGAAGCTCCCAGTCCTGCACGGAGAACATGCCGCAAGAACCATTGCTGGTCCGCTGCTGGAGAACGCCATCATGGGCTTGGGCTTTCCAGGAAGGAAGACGGCTAGCGGGCTAGAGGGATCTGTATAAGAACCAAAATCGCGCCGGGGCGGAAGCTTTGTCGTTGCTGTGCGCTCCCCTCGTTCGCTCGAAGCTGTGGACTGCGAATTCCATCCCCCACGTTCACTGCAACCGCTCATTCAAACGCGGGCTTGTCTTCTGAGCAGGACGAACTTCCAGCTGGAAAACCTGGGGTCTCGACCAGCAGCGATTCGGATCACCTTGGTCGATGAGATTCAGGAATTCCGAGTTCGAAGGCCTGACATCCGGATTCGGCCACATTCTTTACTTGGAGATTCCCGAGGTCTTTCAGCTCCGCTAGTCGAGCCGCGAGACTGAGGACGAATAGACCAAGCCCTTCGAAGGACCTGCATCTCGCATTTTCAGCAGCGCTATGAAGAAAGAGTAGAATTATTAAGATACACTCGAGGTTGCCCTCCCTTGCGCCAGACCCCACCGCAACGACCCTGAATCTGCCACGTGCGCCAATTGGCCGGTCCCTGACATGGCCCGATCATTCGGGGAAGCCGCATCCTTCCGCGATAACCCAGAGTCGGGGCCAGACGGACACGCCTCGAAGAGTTCGACTACGCATCTCGAAGATGGCTACACGGTCCGCCGCGGACAGAAGAGGGAGTCCTTCTGGAGGAGATTTCTTATGACAATTCGCTTGCGCCGAAGACCAAGTCATAACACATCTGAGGATGATGACCTATCTTTCATCACTTCGACCGAAAAGCTTCACAGGACGAGGTGTACGGGTGGGGCCAGTCGTCGGATCTGTGTCAGCGTACCGATAGTGATACTGGCGATCTTGTACGTTATCCTTCGAAAGCATCCCATTGTACGCATGGCACTGATCCGATGCAGTGGTTTAATACAAGCAATCAAGTTTCTACTCGTCCTAGGACCTCTAGTCTGGGACAACCAAGACGACAACTTCCTGCCGAACTGGGGTCAGCCTGGCCAGCTTGGTGAGGGATTGTCACACTATGCCACAGACTTCACAAGGGACGTCGTGCCTATACCATGCCACTCGCATAATGACTACTGGCGTCGCGTTCCGCTATTCGAAGCTATCCATTATGGGTGCACTGGAGTCGAGGCAGACGTATGGCTGTTCGATGATGAGCTCTTCGTCGGGCATAACCTCGGGTCACTGACAAAAAACCGCACGTTAAGAAGAATGTATATCAATCCGCTGCTGGATATCCTTGATCACCAGAATCCTTCGACACCTTTCAACAACAGCAGTCGTCAGGGCGTTTTCGACGAAGATCCAAATCAGACACTCACCCTTCTTATTGACTTCAAAACCCTCGGCGAGGCCCTCTGGCCATATGTCGAAGCGCAGCTCGAGCCTTTGCGGGCCAAGAACTATCTTACCTACTACAACGGATCTGCAGTAACCTCAGGACCTATAACAGTCGTGGCCACCGGAAATGCACCCTTTAACCTCCTGACAGCCAACAGCACCTACCGGAACATCTTCTTTGACGCGCCGTTAGCGTCCATGGCCGGCAAGCATTCCAACGATGAAGCTAGCGAAGCAACACAGAACTCGGGGCAAGGTAGTACTGGAACCAATGGTCTGACAGCCGATGCGTTCACAAGCGCCAACTCCTACTATGCCAGTGTATCATTTAGCCAGACCATCGGCTTCCCATGGCGCGGCCGCCTCTCAGAGAAGCAGCTGCGCAAGGTCAGGGCTCAGATTCAGGGCGCGAAGCAGAGGGGCTTGAAGCCGAGATATTGGTCCACGCCCAGCTGGCCGATTGGCTTGAGGAATCACATCTGGGATGTACTGGTGAAAGAGGGTGTGGACTACCTGAACGTCGACGACTTGAAGGCAGCTGCGAGGAACGATTGGAGGAAGTCAAGATTCTTCCTGTGACTGTCGCCGGTTGTTTTTCCGCGCTTTACGAACGAGATAGATGAGGTCACGATAGACGCACGCAGAGCGCATAGCCAAGAAACGTTTGGATATTCATTTCAAGCAGAGCAGAGCTCTCTCACCAAAATTCCTTTCCACACTCCCCTCAGCCTTTAGCATGCTGCTTAGCCACATACGCGCACCCTCAACCTCTCTAGCCCCGAATTTTACCAGGACGAAGCCTCTTACACTAGCAGCGGTCCATAATAAGCCATCCCTGACTTCCTGCTTCTGCCTCCTCTTCCTTCTTATATCCTCATCCGGGACATCTACTTCCTCAGCGTGCTCGTCCCACATTCTCGCCCCAATCCTCGGCAACCTCCCAAACTCATCCATGAAATACTTCCCCAACGCCTCAAAAACCGGCCCCCTCAGGATCAACGTCCCAAAAACGCCCAGCCCATCCATGCGCGCCGCAATTCCCACACTCCCCGTCCCAGCACCCCCTTTCGCATCCAAAACCACATTGTCCCTCAGCAACAACCTCCGTCCCTTCTGTCCCTCACCTGTCCCAACAGCCCAGACCTCGTTCCTACTCCCATACTTCCAGAAATCCCAATTCTCGCCCCTCGCGCCCCTTCCGCGACTCACCCAGTCGCAGACACAAAGACTAGCGCCCTCGCCCTCGCCTTCGCTGCCGAGCGAAGGCACCTCATAAACCTGAGCCTGCTCAAACACACTGTTCGCGAACGGCTGCACTGGGTCCGGCAGATACACGAGCGCAGCCCCCGGGCCCAGCGAGACGCTCATGCGCTGCGCACTCAGCACATCCCGGCTCGGCGCCTTGAAGATCTTGGTCGAGCCCTGCGTTAGCAGGATCAGGCGCGTAGTGGGCGCGAGCGAGACGCGCAGGTTTATGATGTCGGCGGCGAGGATGCCGCCGCCGTAGGTGAGGAGGAAAACGGTGTGGATGAGGGTGGGTGTGGTGGAGTCGGAGCTGGAGGGAGAGGAGACGAAGAGGGGTGATGGCGCGATAAGCTTGAGGGGGTATTGGTAGGAGAGGGTGCGCAGGACGGGGGTGGAGGGCTGGAGGAGGGCGAGGTCGATGGTGCCGTAGCCGGGCTTGGACGAGGAAGGGGCGAAGGGGGAGGACATTGTGTCCTGGTGGTGGTGGTATTATCGGAAGGGCAGGTAGTATGGCATTCTGGAAGGTCTATTAGAGGTTTAATGGAGCTCCTTCAAGCTTGAGGAACATGCCCCGCCAAAGCGGTTGCGGTGTCTGTGCGGCAGGCCAATGCACGTGGTGTCGAGCATCGCAGCTCTCGCGTTGCGCCCGTCTCCAACGACGGATACCCAGTCACTTAGCGTTGCACTTCAAACGTTCAAGAAGAGTCTGAAAGAGACTTCATGAGAGCGCGTGGTAGCTGACAGCTCGGGAAAGCCTCAATCCTTGGCACCTCCGCTCTCAACTATCCTCCACTCGCCGCGCCTCGCCTAACTTCTCCACCAACGCGTCTCCCCGCGCCCGCATCAACCACCTCGCGCCGCGACAATCGCATCAAGTCGCATTGCGCCCCGTCAACATCCCCAGTTAGATGCCCGGTCGCCTCCTTAGCATGGAGGGTTCCAACTCCGACAGCGACGCGCCCGCCAGCACCTCGCGGCGCAAATCCGGACGCGTCGTCAAGAAGCCCGCCGTGCTGGGCGTGTCCTCCCCAACCGGCAGCACGAAGCGCAAACGAAACGACGTGGAGGAGGACAGCGATGATGCGGAAGAGATGGCTCCAGACGCGTCTGATGAGGATATGGAGAGCAGCGAAGGCGAGCCTGACGAGGAGGAGATACGGGAAAAGAGACGTAAGGCAAAGAATCGCAAGAAGGGACAGGTCAAGCCGCCGGTTAAGAAGGCGAAGCCGAATGGGCAGACGGTCAACTTAGCCATGAGGCCTGCGCCGAAGAGGGCTAGGAAGCCGAAGAAGGCAAAGGCGCTGGAGGGGGCGGACGCGGAGGATGCGGGGGGCCTTTACAGTAGGCGCATTCTAGATAATGCGATAGTATTACCTGCTGACACTCGACGCACAGCTGAGGTCTTCGCGCGAGGCCACACACTCGATGACGTTGCTGCAGACTGGGTTTCGCAGTTCAAGAAGCACGAGTCGAGCGCCGTTGCGGACCTGGTCAACTTCGTGCTCAAATGCGCCGGATGCGATTCGAAAGTGGATATGCACGATATCGAGGATCCGGATGGCTGCACGAACAAGTTGACAGACTTGCAAGATGAGTATCAGTCTGTACGTACGGACTTGCGTTGGCATACGGCTGAAGTACTGACGAGTCGCAGCACAAAGTCACAGAATACCCCCTTATTGCCAAGGGAAAAGGCGCCACCTCATTCAAAGCGTCTCTCAAAGGCTTCTTCGATTCACTCATTAGGACAATAGCCGCCTCGGGCCTCCTGTACGAGAATATCGAGCTTATTGAGAACATCGAAGTATGGGTGAGCACCATGTCCTCCGCCGCCAACCGGCCGTTCCGCCATACCGCCACCGTTGTGTCGCTTGCCATTGTGAGCGCGCTGTGCGATGTCGGCAAGGACCTTGTGGAAAGCACAGCAAAAACTCTGCGGCAGAGCGAAAACGAGCAGAAGAAGGGACGCGTCAACAAGGGAAGGGTTGCTGATCTGGAAAAGAAGGCGAAGCAAGCCGGCAAGAGGCAAGAACAGCTCGACACCATCATCAAAGATTGGTTTGATACTGTATTTGTGCACCGATACCGCGATGTGGATCCAAGAATACGCGTGGATTGCGTGCACGCGCTTAGCGACTGGATTTTAACGTACCCGGACCTTTTCTTTGACGGCCATCATCTCCGATACCTTGGCTGGGTGCTTTCCGACACCTCCGCACCGACACGATTAGAGGTCCTGAAGCAGCTGCAGCGACTCTACAAGGACAAAGACAAGCTCGCTGGATTCAAGACATTCACCGAACGTTTTCGAGCAAGGATGGTCGAGATGGCGACAAGGGATGCTGAATCGAATGTACGATCTTCAGCGGTCGAACTGTTGGACATCCTTCGAGAAGCCGGGCTACTCGAGCCAGATGACATCGACTCCGTGGGGAGACTCATTTTTGACTCAGAACCACGCGTCCGGAAGGCTGTCGTCGGCTTCTTTGCGGAGAACGTCAATGACCTATACGAGTCTAAAATCGAGGAGCTCGGTGGTCAAGAGGCACTTGATGAAGCTCTGGTCCCCATCGAAGGCGACGAAGACTACGACAGCCCAAGAATAGAGTGGCTAAAGCTGAAGAGTCTAGTTGAGATCTTGCAGACCTACGATGCAGAAGATCAGGCGCTACCAAGTCAGATCGAAAAAGTGCCGAGTGCTGCGAACTATGTTCTTATCGCTGCCGGTATTGAGTCACGGTTCTCTCTAGCAGCGCAAGCGCTGTACAATCTTGTTCCGGAGATCAAGCGGTGGAAGGTCCTTGCTGGCTACCTACTTTTCGATAACTCACAGGCAACGCAGAATGGCACAGCAAACGATGATCCGGAAACACTCTTCAAAGTTGCGTGCAAGCTTGGCGGGAAGGAGGAGATTGTTTTGCTCGAAGTCCTCAATGCAGCCGTAAAGATGGGGTTGACGGAGACAATGGAGGCTGGATCGGACAAGAAGCACAAGAAGACGAAAGCCCAGAAGCAGCTATTACTCGAAGAACAGGAGTCCGCAGCACGACACCTCGCGACTCTCATCCCGCGGCTGCTGAAGAAGTTCGGCGCGCTCCCTGACGCTGCATCTGCGGTACTTCGACTCGAGCATGTCCTGAACCTGGAAGTGTTCCAACAGCTACGGCAAGACTCGAGCACTTACTCCGCACTTCTCGATGACATCAACAAGCAATTCCTCACGCACGGTAGCGAAAGCGTGCTGTGGGAAGCCAGCGCTGCCCTTCTCCACGCCAAAAGCTACGAAGATCTCGGCGAGCTCACAGAAGGAAAAGTCCAAGCCCTCTGGGACGACACCCTCAACGCGCTCCAGACTCTACACAAAGGCCTCGACTTCACGACCCGCGGCGGCCTGAGCTCCAACATCCTAACCGCCGTCTCCAACACCGTCCTCCGCCTCTCCAACCTTGTCGCAAAATTCGATTGCATCGAGCCCTTCGAGTCGGTGCCCGCCGCCTCCAGACCCTCCCAACCTAAGCAGCCCGACTCGGACAACGCGGTAGCAATCCTCACTGACATCATCTCCCGCGGCATCCCCACCACAGATATCGAACCCGAAACCGACGATCAGGAAAACGCTCTCGTCGCCCACGCAGCAACTTGCCTCCTCTTCTACTTCATCTGGAAAGTCCGCGCCTGGCAATCCGCCATCGCCTCCTCCACGCCTATCCCAGACGCAGACCTCGAGGCCGTCGCCGAGCGGCGTGACGCGTTCGTCGCGGCCCTCACTGCGGTGCTTGAGCAGCGTCATGGCGCGGATGAGCTGCGGCTCGCGGTCGCGGGCACGCTGCTGGACCTGCATAGCGTGTTTGTTACGCTGCGGCAGGCGAAGCCCAGAGCGGTGGCTGCAGTGAGAAGGGGAGGGGAGGAGCCGAATGAGGATTACCTCGCGCTGATACTGGAGATTCCACAGCAGGCGCAGGAGGTGCTGCTGCATGTGCTCGCGGCTGCGGAGAGGAACTTCGCAAAGCGCGCGGGGAAGGGTCTTGGCGATGCCGCTGGTGGGGATGAGGATGATGCAGATCCGATTGCGAGCGATGAGGAGCCTGAGGGCTCTGATGATGAAGACAACGAGGAGGGGGATGAGGCTCGCAAGGCGGAGAAGACGCATGCGGCGCTTATGGCGGAGCAGCGGCTGTGCGAGTTTGCGGGGAAGCTGGTGCTGGGGATCGTGGCGGGGGTTGTGGATGCTGGGGAGGGAGAGGGGAGAATTAGGAAGAGGTTGGAAAGGAACAAGGCCAGGCTTGGGCATAACTATAAGGAGGTGCTGGGCTATTTGGATGTTAAGGAGAAGGGCGGGAAGAGGGCAGGGAGGACGGGTGCGAAGGGTAAGGCGAGGCCTGCGGCCGAGAGGAGGGATATCACGAAGCCGGCGAAGAGCAGAGAGACTGTGGGCAACGAGGAGAGCGAGGCTGAGGAGACAAGGGTGGACGACGAGGCTGATGAGGAGACACTGAGGGCGAGGGGATTGATGGTCGAGGATGATGACGTTGAGGACGAGGGCGCGGATGTCCCCGATCAGGGTGGAGATGTGGAGAGTGTGCTCGGCGACTGATGAGACTTATGGATTTAAAGCATCTTGCTAAACCTTCTCTTCCTTACTTGCGACGTGGTTTAAGGTCCTGTTTTGCGAGGGGAAGCTGGGGGATCTGGATATCAGAGTACGATGGGATGTACAATGTCTGTTCTCTTTGAACGCTGTATCTACTAGCTGCGCACAAAAATGGTGTACAGAGTGTTGATGATCGAATTGTCCTTCAGCCACGCTCTTGATATGCCGATATCTGAGGAAATACGGTACTCAATCGAGTGGATCCATACAACTGAAGAGCTTTGTCGTCACTGCACGGTTTGAGGGAGATGCGTAGGGCTTCTTATGGAATCGTTTACCGGATAACGAAACCCCGAAAACTCTGCTCAACAGTACAGAGGATACAGGCACGAGCACCATCCAATTTCCGCCCAAAGACCACGTAAGATCCACCTCGACCGTACGAAACCTTCAGACAAACCACGAGAGGCTAAATATAGGCCTGTAACAATATCCAATAATGACCTCACTTCACACGATAGTTAAACCGAAGAGCCTATGAACCCTGACGTACTCATCGTCCACCTTGACGCCATATTCCTTGATGCAACACTCGAACGCCGTATTAGTCGGCATTTCGTCACTTCCGCTCGCCTTCAGTTCTTCCAGGTTGCCCCAGAGCACGAAGAGCTTTTCACGCAACAGGGCCAGAGCTTTGGGGTCTTTCCGGAGACTAAGCGTGATCGATTAGCGATACAATCCAATACGGTTAGAGTTTTGAAGATTGTGGGCTAAGGCGTCAAGCGAAGGCGCAAGTGCTTACTCAGTTGCGTTTTCCTTTAGTAAGAACACTGCGTCGTCTTGCGCAACCAGCAGCTTCAGGCAGAGTGGATCTCTGGTGCCGGGCGGTTGTGTAGCGTCCATGACCCAGACATAGAAGAACCACTCCCAGCCGCGTGGCTGGGGTGATTCATCACTCATCATGTCTTGCGAGTCCGGCTCGTCCGGGCAGTTGTTGTACGCTCGACTATCAAGAGATTGGGAAAAGTTTTCTAGCTTGTCGGGCCAGAAGTCAACGACGCGGACGCGGGCGCGATATTTCATATTGATGAAAGGGAGCTGCAGAATGCCATTGGGGGATTCGTATTCGAGGTGTGGGTTCTCCCAGATCTTTGAGATGCCCACGAGAGGACGATTCAGGTCTTGACAGCGAACTGACAGGAGCTGTATTAGCGTTATTGCAGAACCACGAAGCGGTCTTGGCTGGGTCGATAGGAAGGGGGATGCGTGAAGCCGGATGTCGTGTAGCCCGTACGTCACCCGGGCGGAGAACTCACTATGGGTATTCGATGCAAAAAAGATACTGCTTTCTGCAGGCTCCTTCTGCTTCTTGTGCTGCTCTTCCAACAGCTTTACCCTCTGCTCCTTTCGTTTTTGCTTCTTAGACGGTTTAGACTCAGATTTGCCCCCGGGATTTGCCGTCTTTGTACGGGCAAGATACTCCTTCTTGCGCAATACAAGGTCCTTCACACGCGGCTCGTCAGGCTTTGCTTTCCAGACATCGACTCTGAATGGATATTTCCTGTCTTGGTGTAGCTTCCCTTCCAGTCTCGAGAAACTGCCTTCGTTGTACTTGACGATAACGTTCTTCATGCAGACGTAATCACCTGGATGGACATTGTCTCGCACCCAATCGGCGTGAGGTAACCATAGCGTGACCAGAAGCGTCATCTTGCCGCAAGGACCAGGCCAGGGCGCTTTTTTCTTTCCGTTGAGATAGTTCATCGGATCACCGTCATAGCCTAATCCAGCCTCTTTCGCCTCGTCCTCAGGTGAGAGGTACTCGTAGAACAGCCTGTTCGTAGTGTAATCGGTAAGGTAGATATCTACCCTGTCGAAGCTGGCCGATTGAATCTTGACCACTTCCCCAATAGGGTCGTAGTACTTATCCGCGGCGATGTCTTTAAGTAAAGCTTGTCTATCCAGGCGTGAAGCCCCAATGGCGCTGCCGGGAGTCACTTTGCTAGGAGTGATTGTTGATGGAGGGGCGCCTGCGGGGGTTTGCGGGTTGGGGATAGATCGCATTGCTGCAGGCGTGGCGGCTGCAGAGATCGGAGCATTCGTGGGGAGGTGCGGGAACGCATGACGAAGCTCGATGGAGTAGAACTGCTCTTCAGTCGTTGCGGGTCTGGATCCACTCATGAGCATACCCGGAATGTTCTTGTTCCCATTTGCGTACGCCATTTTGAATGTCGGATTCGGGATAGCGGCGGACGGAAGCACGACGCATTCTGTAGAGTAATTGCTCAATCCAGTCACTGTGCTGCGATATTCAGAAACCTGAGCTCGAGTTAGTTGCATCCTTGCTATTCAAACCATGCCATATTGTGATCTCTGCTCAGGGTCGAAATGCGGCCTGGAGTCAGAGACGGCACAAGCGGCGGTACAACTTAGTTGCCAGCTAAGGGCGTAGCGGTAGCACGCGCGGCTCTCCGACTCAGTCTGTAAGATTCTATGATACTAGGGATACGGGCAGTCTAAAGCCGGTGGCATTATTCATAAGAATAGACAAGTGAACTAACCTTAAGCTGTCGAACTATAGCCACATCCCCTTTCGCCTGAACCTGAGGGAAAGCCCCTACTGTTTTGCGGAAGAGCTTAACAGTGAAGCCTTGATCAGGCTGGTATTCGTCGAAGTTGGATATGTCTTGCAGGATCAAGGTCATCACAAGATCTGTGCCCCTCGTCTCCATTGGAGGCATAAAATCCACTACTACACCGATCACGCTAAGAAGCTGGGTAGGACTGCGGTGCTGGAGTGCTTGGTGGATAGTGACGAAGCCAGTTGGCGGTGTTGGAGCCATGTTGATGGGCTCGAAGAAGCTCGATAGACTGAGTTGAAAAAGGGAGTCAGAGTCGCGGCGGACCTCGAAGTGTTGATGAGAGATGAGACGGCTAAGGCGTGATGTGGCGAGATATTGGAAGATAGACAGCAAACAAGCCAACAGACACAGAGTGTAGGCACTAAACTCAAAACACCAGTACGAGAAACGTATCTGTTAGTCAAAGCCTAGAAACCCAGATAAAGAGACCGCTGCTCACGGTGTTGTCAATGGCTTGAAGTCTAGAGTAAGGCAGGCAAAGCTGCTAGTTCCGCATCACAGACTTGAGAATCTTAGGGCTCCAAATTGGGGGGACAGCTCCGTCCCGCTGTCATCAACTGGTGCAACGCTTTCCAAGCTAAAAGTCTGACACTGTTCTTCAAATGCTACGTTTATACTGCCTGTATCATGTACCGGGCAGGCGCCAAAGATTCTTGATGAGGCTCTGACGACCTCTGTTCATCACAAACGGCCTCGTTTCGACAGGCTAACCTTAGTCGCCAAGATGTTAGTCTTCGACAAGCCGAAAGTGCGTGGTCCCCATCGATGCCTTAGGTGTCACTGAGCGTATTGCAACCTCTCTGAAGTGGTATTTGGTACACGGTTGCGGTACGACTCGCAGTCGGAATTGATTCAGATAATCTACCTGGTTTCAAAGCGTCGTTCTGCGCCAGTGTTACGAATTCACTGGATAAGGTCCGCCGCAGCACCGTGACGGCTCTTCACAGGGTTGGGGTTTCCTTGTGGTATTGACATCAGTCGTTCGAAGCCTACATACAATGTGCGGAGAATGATCCGACCGCCGTTGTGAGGGCCTGTACGTACTCCTAAATGGACCTTAGTAAAGATGCTTTCACTTGAACCTTTTGCCTTAAAGGATATGACAGCAATCGGTTGTTGACAAGCAAACGCGTGCGCGTCTCTAGAAGTTCTGGCGTGGTCCACGCTAAAGACTGCTGACGTAAGCCGGCCTTCACCGAAAACAGCACAGCGGAACCTTGACACCTGCCCGCATTGTGATTTTCTGCCCACCACCTCCTTGCCAGACACCCCCCATAAACACACACTCGTGCTTGCGATTCTGCACCTCGAACCGTCTCACTACATTGACAACTCGCCGTATCAACTACTGAGCAGCATGGCTGACCGTTACATCCCCGAGCATCGCCGTACGACATTCAAGGCTAAGAACACATTCAAGCCGGACGAACTCCGTAGGCGGCGTGAGGAACAGCAGGTGGAGATTCGCAAGCAGAAGAGGGAAGAGAATCTCGCCAAGCGGAGAGGTATTTCTGGACGAGATGGTGGTGCTCCAGGAGCTTCCCTAGGTGCTGCTCCAGACAGCGATGATGAGGGCACAAGCAATGAAGGCCAGGTATGTCACGCTCTCCATCCTACCCAGTCTACGTACCACAAGGCATATTCGTCGAAAACTGACGTACGGACAGCTCAATGAAGAGCTTCCCCAGATGGTGAAGGGGGTCTTCTCCGACCAAATCGACGAGCAGATTCAAGCCACCACCAAATTCCGGAAGCTGCTCTCAAAGGAACGCAATCCACCCATTGAACGAGTCATCGAGACCGGCGTCGTCAGCAGATTCGTAGAGTTCCTCCGCTCGCCACACACCCTAGTTCAGTTTGAAGCCGCATGGGCGCTCACGAACATCGCCTCTGGTTCCGCTCAGCAGACCCAGGTTGTTATTGAGGCCGGTGCTGTCCCGATATTTGTAGAACTGCTCAGCAGCCATGAGCCTGACGTTCGGGAGCAAGCGGTGTGGGCGCTTGGAAACATTGCTGGTGACAGCCCAGCGTGCCGAGACTACGTCCTGCAAGCCGGTGCTCTTAGACCGCTCCTCGCTCTGCTGGGCGACAGCCGGAAACTGAGCATGCTGAGGAACGCTACCTGGACTCTCAGCAACTTTTGCCGTGGAAAGACCCCACAGCCAGACTGGCAAACAGTAAGTTCATCCCACCCTTTCACTTTGCCCTATTCGTGCGCTGACTCGTCCCTGCAGATCGCGCCGGCACTTCCCGTCCTCGCCAAGCTCGTTTACTCTCTCGACGATGAAGTTCTCATCGATGCGTGCTGGGCCATCTCGTATCTCTCCGACGGATCAAACGACAAGATTCAGGCTGTCATTGAGGCCGGCATTCCTCGTCGTCTTGTCGAGCTTCTGATGCATGCATCGACTTCGGTGCAGACTCCTGCCCTCCGTTCCGTCGGCAACATCGTCACGGGAGATGATGTTCAGACTCAAGTCATTATCAACTGTGGGGCCCTACCTGCTCTTCTATCCTTGCTCAGCTCGACAAAAGACGGCATCCGCAAGGAAGCTTGCTGGACTATATCCAACATCACGGCCGGCAGCCCCACGCAGATCCAGGCAGTGATCGATGCCAACATCATCCCGCCTCTCATTCACCTTCTTTCCAACGGCGATTTCAAGACTCGTAAGGAGGCTTGTTGGGCCATCTCTAACGCCACCTCCGGTGGGCTTCAGCGGCCAGAGCAGATCCGCTACCTTGTTCAGAGCGGCTGCATCAAGCCCCTGTGTGACCTCTTGTCCTGCCCTGACAACAAGATCATCCAAGTTGCTCTTGACGGCCTTGAGAACATTCTCAAGGTCGGCGAGATGGACAAAGAGGCCTCGGAGCAGACTGGCGAGCCCATTAACCGCTACGCTCTGTTCATCGAGGAGGTCGGCGGCATGGAGAAGATTCATGATTGCCAAAACAACGCCAATGAGGAGATCTACATGAAGGCGTACAACATCATTGAGAAGTACTTCTCTGACGAGGACGAGGCTGGCGGGGACATGAACGAGCTTGCGCCTCAGCAGGGCCAGGACGGTCACTTTGGCTTCGGCGCCCAGCAACAGCAGCAAAACTTCAACTTTGCGAACGGCGGCGACTCCATGGACATGTAAACTGCATGCCTAGATTCTACGTCAACGGAGGAAAAGTTCCGGTCTCACAGCCGCCATATCAGCCAGCACGTCACGGCCGATGTAAGCTTGTCATCGCCTAGCAACAGTATATGATACAACAGGCAGGGCACTCCGAGCTCGCTTCACTCGGCACACTTCATGCAGCCATTCTAATTGGTCTGCCTGATACCAGATGAGACGCAGGTTGAGAACTCGCTCGGCTCGCACTTACTGCCCCTCAAGTCCTAATCCCTCGCCGAAAGATCCCCACCACGCCCCACGACCTTTGCACCAGCACGATCGATGCAATCCCCGAAATCGTCACGCCCACCCAACCCTCACCATGAGCAGAGTCCGAATTTCATTTCCTGGTTCTTGCTCCCTCTGCACGACCACTCATGAGCATTGAAGATACACCATCATGTAATTTCCCGGGTACACCACACAGGCATCATATCCCAGGCGTTTTCTGTTTTCGTCTTGTTGCTGCACTTTTGGACGGAAGTGGGAGGTGAGAGGAGGAACTGGATACGTAGTTAGCGTAGTGTTAATAGATGCGAGTGAAATCTGCGATGGATGTAGTAGGATGCGCATGTGATATATTTCACTGACAACGTTGACGGCCTGCCTCTCCGCCCTGTACTTGGACTGAGTCACGTGGGAGCGCGTATATCGGACGCTGGATGGCTCCGCTCCGCGCCAGCAGCACTACACCTCAGGCGATGTACCCATGTGTTACCACTTGGCACGTCATCTCTTGTACGAGGGGTTTCGTTCTGATATCAGAGATGAATACATTGAGCAATTCTAACATTCTGGCTGGCAGACAGTAGCACTAGTGTCCATCAACAACGATCGATCTTGAGCCAGCTGCGAAACCTGACGGCCTTCGAAGGCACACAAGCGCGGAATTAGCGTTCTGGCACCACGAGATTGTACGACCATTCAAACCTGAAATCCAACAGACTTCCTATCAAGCCGCATGGCTTGGTGCATTGCTTCTCGATGATCAATTAGGCATCAGTCTTTGTGAACTTCTCGCTCTCTCGCGTCTTTCCGTGAGCATTTTAAGTCCTCACTTTGTACACATTGTTCAATTAAACTATTTCTTTCACTGAGCTCTACAGCATGCCCGAGTCAACTACTGAACAGTCCCAGGAGACTTTGTCCCTCAAGGAGATAACTCAACCCAACTCAAGTGCCCCTTTACTCAGTTCGAACCAAGCTTCTGCCTCCCCAACAACATTCGAGTCCTCTACTGAACCGCTGCAAGAGGCTCCTCCCAACAGAGAGAAGCTGCGAAGCGGCTTAAGTGACTCCCAGCCTTACAAATACACCCACATATTTGGGAACGAACTTAAGCCTGAGTTTCCCATCGAACACTGGGAGAAAAAACTCGTTGGCAAAAGGATGGTCAGATATCGCAGTGATCCCCCAGGCGATGAGAACGTATGCCCTCAGTGTGTCTCCTTGAGACGTCCACTGCTTACAACGGGCAGTCGTTCACTTATTCGGATTTGCCTCCAATGGGGTTTTACCAAATATATCCTGGGGCACACAACTGTACGAGAAGTCGTGTTAGGTAACATTGTTTTTGAACCCTTCTGAAGTTCTCAGGATGATCTGATGAAGAATCAGGCTCAGTATGTCACTTGGGAAGGGCAACGTCTGTGAGAGCGTTTGGTATGGCTAGATCGAGAAACTGTGGGACGTTGTAGCCGTGGGCGTATCTAATTGCGTGGCTGCTCTGCCTCTGCTGAAATCAGGCGTATCACGTGACTGCGGCACAGCATTAGCGCTACCTTTCATTCGACCTGAAGTAGGCAGCAGCTAATTAGTTTCCATCAAATCCTCATTTTCGTAAATCCACATCTCGCCAACATCCTTCAGTCAAGTGCTTCTTCCTCCAAATCAGATTGAGCTTCCGTCGAGCTCAGCATGTCTGATTCCCATAGAGACCAGCCGCAAGATGCTTCGCCGCAAGAGGCTCCGCCTAGTAAGGGGACGACTCAGATCAGCGCAAGAGAATCCCTCTATGGAAGAGATCAGAAGCCCGAGTTTCCAATTGAATACTGGGAGAAGCGACTCGTCGGCAAGAGGATGATCAAATCCGATGAACCAGGTGATGAGAATGCATGTTTGTTGAATCCATTTACCCGTATGATATACTTATGACAGCTAGACCTTCAAAAGATCGGACTTGCCTCCAATTCCTTTCCACTGGACACTTCCTGGGCCACGTGACTGTATGAGAAGTCGCGTTAGGTGAATTCAAAGTGTTGAAGACTTGCATTTGGAACGGAACTGATGATGGTTTAGGCTCAATTTAAGGCTGGGGGATGATGCTGTTTGTGAACGCGTTTGGTATGGCTAGGGCGATGGGAAGGAGTGGAGCGTGCAGAGCCAGACACATACTCACTACAGGAGGAGCCATCCAATACCACCGCGACGACCACAGGACTTGTTCCACATTTCATGAGTTTGGGGGAAACGGGCGAAGAGGCCCGTAGGAGACTCTGCCGGATTGCTTATCTGCGGCGCAAAACGATAAAGATATCGTCTGCCACGGCATTCATACACGCAAGTTTGATGATTAACAGCAATCCTCACCGCTGTAGGTCGAAGTTACATGCAGCCTAAATTTCAGAGAATAGCGCATGGGCATCAATCCTCGAATCTTGATAGAGCGCTTGAAGCCTACTTACAAGCCGCTTATAAGTAGGTATAATTACTTAAAGACTCTAAGTATTTAGAGTGGGCTCTAATTGCTCTAAGTGGCTCTACGTATTCAATTTTTTTCTCCTAATATAGATGCAGTAGTTAGCTAGCTGTTTATAGTTTAAGTTTATAGTAATATCTAAAAGCTCACGGTCTTAGTACAGTAGAGTAGGGTCTAACGCCGTAAACTCTAAACCTCTAAGCTTCTAGTTAACTAATTACTAAGCTTCTAATTCTCTCTTCCCTAGCGACTAAGCTTACACTCCTTATTTAACTTATTAGCGCTGCGATGAATAACTAATACTATACTAAGTACGGTCCGCGCCCTTGAACCGCTTAGCGGGTTGTCTAGAGCAACATATTAATGACGACGATTTGAACGGACGAGTCCGACACGAACGTCGTTAGCACGACATCAGTCGGGCGATTGGAAATACTGCAACCGTGTTCTCCTGCGCCGCGCTGCGTACCGCTTATCACCATTGCTCTGGCCCAACTCCAAGTCCTGAAGGATGCGAAAAGCGTAGCCATTATGAAGGTATGAAATGTCGTCGTCTGGCTCCTTCCAGGAAGCCAGCAAGTAGAAGGCCTGCATCGTCTCAACGAATCTGTCACCCTCTGTAAACGTTCTGATTGCTGGGTTTCGAGCCAAGGAGCAGAGTCGGCTCGGTAGAAAAGAGTCTGTTGGCGGATTAACCCCCCGTCGATGTACTGGGCAAACTTCGAAGCACAAAAGAGGACGGTGGCGACGAGCAGTCGGCTTCCTTGCTTGACGTTGTCGTGTGTATCGAAATGGCGATCGAGGATGTACTCCCATTTTACATTCATCTTCATCTTGAAATGTGTAAAAAGCGCCGCGGATGCCTGTCGAGTGAGCATACCGCTTTTGACTGGGTCTGAGATGGTGTGCCAAGGGTCGTGGAAGAGAGATAGCTAGGCATCTTGACCGTGGAATCCAGCAGACGGTTATTATTATCGACAGCCTGCGCCCAAGGATTAGCTCTCAGGGACGCAGAAGCGAAGACAACTTCAACGATAGTTCATTCGGCTGAGGTTGTTTCAAGGACTGCTGCGGAGGAGGATCCTGAATCGGGTCGCCGTCACCGTCTGCGTCGAAGGACGGTGTGTTTCCCGATGTGACGAAGCTGAATGGCGATCCTCTCTTCCCCTTCAGGCTAGACAGGACAGCAACAATCCTCGCTCGAACCTCGGCGGTGATGAGTGGCTGTCGACTGTAACCAGCACCGGGAGTTTCATGATTAACGAGCCTGGGACTGGGGGAAGATAACGCCGGTGCGGAGGGCGGGGCGGTGTCGCTGGGAAGGGTCGACGATGGCGGGTTCGACGTTAGGGCAGGAACAGGTTCTTGGACACGTTCTTCCTGAGAAGCGGTTGGCGGACGACTCGACGGTCGCGTGTATGGATGGATCCTGGCCTTCGCCCTCTTCGGCTGCTTAAAGACGCAGTCGGTATCGTTGGCATCGGTCTGGGCGCTGCGAGACCAAGTATCGACCCTTTGCCGTTCGGCATTCGAGACAGGCGCTAAAGAGTGAATTCATTCGGTAAGGCGGCAGTACACACGGCTACAATGCTGCACAGCTCACACAGGGGCACGATACAAGCTGGAGGGGTTCGCAGTCGACAGTGCCATCCCCTTTCTAGCGCGAGTGTCGCGGGGAAGTCGACGGGAGGGGAAAACTAGGAAGTTTTTCTCGGTCCGTAGCATATCCCAGCGTAGAGAGGCACGGAAGGGTCTACCGGTCTCGGCCCGTGGGCGGAGCATATAGTGCCTGGCCAAAAGTCTTTCCGTATTATCGTTTTCTCACCAAAACTCGATGTTTTTAGAATAATAAATATCTAGATAGAAGTATAGTTTAGTTATTAAAGATTATAGTATAGTCTAGTAGAGACTT